TGAGGAACACTGCTTCTCCAGACGCTTCTGGAAGCGGATACCCAAATCCTAAGGGTCGAGTTATTAGGCCTCGGCGAGAAATCCTAAAGACAAACAAAACCCGCCTCGGATCAAATTTCTGAAACGCAGCGGTCTACCAATGCATTATGAATATATAATGTGTATACACAGAAACATAATTTTTTACAAAAGCAAGTGAAGACATTTACCGCTGGCTCAGTCCTTCAGGTTCCTGTCCTGATCGTTAGGGGAAGGGGGTGCGGGGCGGCCCTGGAAGCAGACCCCGCGCCTGCAGTGCGGCGCTCACCTGTCACCCACCGCCCCTTCGTGCGTGCGCGCCCGCGCTCTCTACACCCCCCGCGAGCAGGCGTGCGGAGCGCGCACCCGCGCCCTTCCGGTCGCCGGCTTCCCCCTCGCCAGGCAGCTTCCAGGCCCCGTTGTGACGTCACCCGCCCCTCGCCCGATTGGTTTTGTCGTCCGCCGCCAACGGCGGGGGGGCACACGTGAAACTGATTGGCCCTCCTCTGCTGTCAATCAAACCCCTCACCACTTTCCCTCCAGGGTATCGGCTCTGGAATCCAGCCCGGGAAGAGAACGCGCGTGCGCAATTGCGCCGAGGTGTGTTGCGAACCAACATATTCCCCGAAATCATTGAAGTTTTTTTATTCCCCCTTCGGTGGGATTGTGTGCAATAATGAGTGTCATTATTTTACTTGTACTTATGAGATATAAAATATGCATGTTTATGAAGGTGGATCATTACTATTTTTCACTCTGCCAAGTTCCTTGCCTTTTATTTCCAAACGTTTTAGCGGTGTTGTATCCGTGTCGTAGCAATATCCCAGTGATAAATAAAGCGTACACGTTTTGCAAAATCGCACTGCTTGACCATAGCTGCTGAAACCCAAATAAAAGCATACTCGTTCTGCAAAATCGTACTGCAAAGTATATCCCACTATTTGCATTTTCTTGAAAAGAAAAAAGTTGCATTTTCACAACCACTGGTTATCGCCAAGTTCTTATACATTCCCACTAACACTAGACTATTAAGTACTTTTTTGAAGTGTGGCCCTAGTCAGTTTTGAAATTACAAAAAAAGGAATAACGTGAGCACATCCCCCATGGGAAGTTTTGAGTTGTGGTACTGGTGCACAATGGTGCAGCTTGTACACAACATTGTTCAGTGCTTAGGAAACAGAGTTTCTGAATACTTGGAAAAATTTTTTGCTTATGGGAATGTGGTACTGATGTAAAGCTACTTGTTTCAGTGTAAATGCAGAACCTGATTGATGTGTATTCCTATGGATCTTGAATCCAGTCAATTAGAAATAGATAGGAAGTTTGGCATTCTTTTCTTCAGAAGAGAAGAAAGCCTAATGAGATCTGTTTGGATTCTTCAAGCAGATGGAAGGCATTCACAAAGGAATCCAAGCAAGCTGTTAACGTGGCAACAAATTCAAATATCAGACAACAAATATAAAAACATTGAAAAATGTATCATAAGGGAAGTCAGGGACATCTTTTTCGCCTAAAAGAAACTGGCCTGAATTTTGTGGGGGTTGGGGATGGGTGTGTGTGTCTGGAACATGCCAACCAATATTTCTTTTTATAACAACACATTGCTGTCCAAAACCTCTGGAGTAAATCTGTGCAATTGAATGACTGTAACTGCCATGAACTCCACCCATTTTCCTGTCTGCCCCAATTGCTTTAGATAAGGGAGCCAAGGGTATTGGGGAACAGGAATGAAGTTTAGTTGAGGCCACATCTATATTATCTGCGATCTTGGCAAATGACAATGGCTTATTCTTGATCCTAATTCCTGTGTTCCTACTTCAGTCCACAAATTTTGGCCCATTAGGTTTGTGGAAACAATTGCAAGGCAGGATCTTTGAAATAGTTGGAAAAGCTGTGTTGGGTGACTATTTGATTGGTCGGAAAGTGAGGACAGGGAAAAATTTGATTTGGAGACGCAATAATGGGCTGATAGATTAAAAAGGAACAGGTTTGTTGACTTTTCCTGTTCCTGAATAATATTAAGTCCACACAAGTCATTGGTACGATACAAAAAACAGGAAAGAATAGATGAGCTCTGTGTGATTAAATATTAACTGGACATCAGGAAAGGAAGTGAACCAGATCTGATAGCTAAATGCGAAGATTTTGCTTAATACTCAAAAGGCTTTTTTTGAGATGGTACATCGAGGCGGCACAGTGGCTCAGTGGTTAGCACTGCTGCCTCACAGCACTAGGGGCCTGAGTTTGATTCCACCCTCGGGTGACTGTCTGTGTGGAGTTTGCACGTTCTCCCTGTGTCTGCATGGGTTTCCCCCCACAGTTCAAAGATGTGCATGCTAGATGGATTGGCCACGCTAAATTGCCCATCGTGTTCGGGGATGTGTTGATTAAGTGGGTTATATGGGGATTGATGGGATGCACTGAGAGGCGATGTGGACTTCTTGGGCTGAAGGACCTGTTTCCACACTGTAAGGATTCTATGGAGACTGACTGGAGCCTTGTTTTGTGGTAACAGTGTGAATAAAACTGGAGAGTGTCTTCAGAATGTTAGTTATTGATACATTATTATTAAGGTGATGGAACATTGCTAGGCACCTGATTTCTGATCTGCTAATGGGAACTTTAATAGTTTTTGTTTCAGATTATATTGGTCAGAATATTGTCACATTTGGGTAATTGCTTAGTTATTATTTATTTCTATTATTTGCATGAATATGTTAATATTTCTGACAAAATCTATGTCAAGTTTAACTTATTTTTTAAACTAATATAGAAGATTTCAGGAATAAGGCCTTTTAATGACACCATCAGATTGAAAATCCAATATTTAAAGACAAGTTATTAAAATGGTTTGTCATTATCAGGAAGAAAGCTGTTCACACAAAAAAGCTCCATGATCTATGAATTATTTGGTTTTCATCATTTAAGGGCTAGTTATTTATTACGTGGTATCTTATCAAGCACTCTATAAAAATCAAGTAAATCCTATGATTGAAGAAGTCATACTTGCATGATGAGATATTAGTGAAATAACTCCACAGAGACAGTATCCCATCACCAAGTCACCTTTTGTTTACACATGGAGAATTCTTGGCACTGATCCAGCTTCCTTAGAGCCAGCTCTCAGAGTGAACAGTCTGACACTCGTGTTCTTAAGTATCAGCCAGGGCTCCCTGATTGGACCAGGTTAACAGCCCCAATCATGGAACTCATATTCTATGAGTTGTGATCAGACCAAGTGTTGTGATCAGGATATTGGCATTAACTGCAGCTCCAATGCTTTTGTTTACCCTTGTGTCTCAGTTAAATTTTGAAGTGTTTATAATCATAGTGCAGACAATATGGAAAAAATAAATGTGTCAAGGCTAGGTAGACTTTTGATGGGTACTCAGAAGCAGAGGGTGGCTTTGGTTGTTCGTGTAAAACAGATGGCATTGATTTAGGCACCGATTGTTTTTTATTTCCATTGACTTAATGTATATTGAAGATGTCGTGTGACACAGTTTTAATATCAATACCTCCAGGCGCAAGGTCTAAGCCAGGAGTTTTTGGACCCATAACGAATGCTCATGACATGGATCAACAAGTTGGTAAACAATCCCAGAATTCTTTCACCACCTCTCACTATTCCCAGAGAGAAGGCAAGGTGTGAAGAAACTTTAAAAAGAAATGCATATCAGGAAGCTGAATCAATATTGTTTATGTTAATCTACTAAATTAATCCCCTCCAGTCTAAACTCAAATGATCCTTTGACCACTATGATTTCTATTCTTAATTGGGGCACTGCAGTTGCTTGAACAATTTAATGGATGCTGCCTGACGTGCTGTGATCTCCAGCATTTGTTGATTTCAATTTAATGATGGTCAACCTGTATTTTGTTTCAACCTTATGCACAAAGTGGATTGTCACAGGACTAGCAATTATGCTTGTATCTCTGTACCTTGTTTTTGGAACTATTACACAACTTCTTTGCATTTTGAGAAATGCCGAATGTCAAATTATTGGGCCATTGCATTCAGGCTCAAGATAACAATGAATGCATTTAAAAGCTAGTCTGTTACATTGAAGCTGAAATGCAGAAAATACAATAGTTTCTATTTAAGTTAAATTACAGAGAACAAAAAGTGTGGAATCTTTTGTAGCCTATTCCAATAACTTTTGAGCCCTGTTGAAATGTCATTTAGACATTTGACATGTTGGACCAGCTTTCAGTTCCTCAACATGAAAAAGATCAACCAAAACAGAAACTGGCGAGAAAATAAAGAAGCGTCATTCCTGTCCAATTCTCAAGAGTTGAGAAAGAAATAAAGTCCTCTGTAACAATTATTGTAGCTCTTTCTCAATAATTAGGCAATTAGAATGTTAATTATTCATATCCCTTAATTGGTTAGGTTGTGAACAAAGGTTCTTCTGACATGCGTTGAGTCATTTACTCCTGGTATTTGGCCCCTGCAAATGTTGTCCTAAATTTCTACCCTGATGAAAAACCTTGCAAAAAACTTTTTCACAATAGCCTGATAAATAAGCTTAACCTCATTCTGAAATCAGAGGGCAAAATCTTACAGTCCTCCACAGGCAGCTTTGCAGGCTGAGGCTCCAAAAATTCTACAGGTAGCTTTCCTGCCATCTTTCTGCTCACTGTTCACCTATTCCACAATTTCATCTGGGACGACAGCCGACCACTGCTGTAAATTAGGTTCTTGAGTAGCACCCCTCACGGTGTTCCTTCACTCCCCAGCTTCTCTATCAAGACTCCCAACCTCTCCTCCCACACTCCCTACCCAGCCTCAACCCCCATCAGGGCCATGCACCCCCCGAACCAACTCCCTTCATCTTCCCGCACTTAATAAAGTCTTGGACTCCTGGATGTAGAATCTGGGGACAGCTTGTGGAGCCACTCCTGGGTCAGTGCCGCCATTGCTGCAACAACAGAGTTCAGATCTCTGAGGTGGGATTTGGATGGAGATTAAGTCGCCAGCCAATTAATGCTCTTCAGAGCCGTTACAGGTGGAATTACTGTTGTAATTGGCAGGAATGCCACCTAAAAAAATCCTGCCATTGAATTTAGAGCACATTGTTCCATTCTCTGGAAGGAACAATCTATTCATTTCCCTTTCTGCTTTGAAAAGTGATTAAGCATCTTGTCTTTATTCAACTGCACCTTCACCTGCATCTGTCATGACCTCATTCACAATAAAACAATTCATCTCTCTTGCCCTGGCTGTTCCTGTTGATACAGGTTTTATCTTTACACCATTAAGTCCGAGCAATACAAACTTGCGAAGATATGACAAACAATTGGTTTAGCCATCCACTACTAGGTATGGATGGACTATTTAAAGAACCACAGGTACTACAATCATCTGCTCAAAGTGCTCACTCTTCCAATATCATCCAGAAAAGCTAAGATAAT